TCTGAAGCAAGCTCCAGGCTCTTAGCTGTCAGCACAGAGCCTGACTCAGGGCTAGAGCTCACGAGGCAAGAGATCATGATGTGAGCTGAAGTCAGACGCTTAACTGAGTCACCCAGGCAACCCTATGTTTAATTTTTAAATATTTAAATCTTAAATCCATTTGGAGTTTACCCTGCTATACACAGTATAATATTTGAATCCAACTTTTTTTTTAACGGTTACCGAATTTTCCTAACATTTATTATAAAGTTCTTAACCTGAGTCTTTTAAAAATATTAAATATTTTATTATACATTCCTGCACTTTTTCCTTATACTTTCTTGTACCATTCCTACACTGAACCTCTACGTATCCTCCTAAGCTTATCTGAAATTCCTCATCTTTCCTGAGGACTGAAATTTTCTTTTTTCTTTCATAAAACCCTGACAAAACAGACAATATGACACTGTAGAAATAAAAGAAAATTTAAAAATCCTGCAATTTTAAGTAGGGATGGTACAGAAAGGATTACTTAAAATATCCTGGGGCACCTGGGTAACTCAATTGATTGAGTGTCTGGCTCTTGATTTTGGCTCAGGTTATGATCTCACCACTGGTGAGATGGAGTCTTGCACCAGGCTGTGTACAGAGCCTGCTTGTGATTCTCTGTCTCCCTCTCTCAATCTCTCTCAAAAACAAATATTTTTAAAAATCCCATTATATTTGATGATAATCTTTTAAGTTTATTTATTTATTTTTAGAGAGAGAGGAAGAAAGAGCATGAGTGGGGGAGGTGCAGAGAGAGGGAGGATCTTGGGATCCACACTGTCAGCATGGAGACCAATGGAGGGCTTGAGCCCACAAACTGTGAAATCATGACCTGAGCTGAAATCAAGAGCTGGACATTAATCGACTGAGCCACCCAGGCACCCCTAATGATAATCTTTAACAACACTCCTTTTACATACATTTTCAAACCTCTAACAACTGCAGAATAAGTGTAAGGCTTAACACTTTAAATGTCTGTAATAATTGAAAAAGAAATTACCAACAGTCCATCAATTGAGGAACAAGTAAATAAAGTGTGGTTCATTCACACAGGGGAGTATTACACAGAAGTTAGGAAGAATGAGAGATTCAGGGGCGCCTGGGTGGCGCAGTCGGTTAAGCGTCCGACTTCAGCCAGGTCACGATCTCGCGGTCCGTGAGTTCGAGCCCCGCGTCGGGCTCTGGGCTGATGGCTCGGAGCCTGGAGCCTGTTTCCGATTCTGTGTCTCCCTCTCTCTCTGCCCCTCCCCCGTTCATGCTCTGTCTCTCTCTGTCCCAAAAATAAATAAACGTTGAAAAAAAAAAAAATTAAAAAAAAAAAAAAAGAATGAGAGATTCAGATGTAATAACATGGAATGCTATGTAAGCAACTTTGTCAAGGGAAGAGAATTGTACTATCTCATGGAGGGAAATGTTTGTAAATGCATTGAAAAATTCTGAAAGGACAGAAAGCTTTAAGTAGTTGCCTTTCCCTGGAAACTGAAACTTGGGTGGGAGAGGAAGGTGGAGGAAAAAGGAATTTTAATTCTCATTTTAGATCCTTTTTGAGATGTGAAAAGCTTTTTAAAACACATATAACTTTTATACTTAAAATAAATGTTAAATTTAAAGCTAAATACTAGCAACTAAACAGGTTAACATGTTTACATAAACATTTAAAAAAGAAAAAAGGACAGAGAAGAAAAAAACAAGATCATTATGCCCAGAAGTTACCTGAACAATGGTGAATCCAGATCTGAGAATAATATCTTGTATCTCCTCCTCTTTGTCAACAATATCCGGTTTGATAATAGCCAGAGTTTTTTCTACATATATCTGAGGTGGGGGCATTGATATCTGCATTCTGCCTTTTCGATGTAAATTTAGGAGACTCTCCACAGGAATCAACTGCAATGACAGGCATCAACCCCACCCCAAATTTAATGTAATTGTGACTAAGAACAGAGTTATTAGGTGCTTGATTTTATTAACTTATAAAATTAGAAACTGCGGAGTCTTTGTCTATAAGCAGTGTCTTGATAATATGATACGAGGTAGTAGGGAGCCTGGCTGGTTCAGTTCCAGGAGCATGAGACTCTTGATTTCTGGGTGGTGGGTTTGAGCCTCAGGTAGGGTATAGAGATTAAACTAAACTACAACAAACAAACACCATTTCTCCTCTATGTCTAATTCATGCCCTTGGTTTTCCTAAGCGCTTTCCTTGAGGGGGAGAGGCAAGGGGCAGTCTGAAAGCCTGGGCCTGGCTCAGACGCTCAGGGTTGCAGGTGAAAACTCTGTTGGCCACTCTGCAGCAACTCTCTACTCTAGGGACAGGTAAGCAGCTTCGTTCCCACCCCTCCTGGAAGACCACACATAAGGTCTGGCTTGGTTAGAAACCAGGATCGCCAAATTGCAGTGCATTTCCAAAGTGTACTGCAGATTCTGAGCAAGGACCTCATCTATGCACTCACCCTAGTGCCTGCTCCTCTAGTGCCGCCGTAGCTTGTTGCTAGGAGACCTGAAGCACAGTTCAGGGATGGTGGCTGCACAGGGCCAATCCAGCAGAGGGCCAATCCAGCAGAGTGTATCACAGGCTCTGGCTGGTTTCTTTCTTCT